CTTTATTTTTATATATACTCTCCTCCTTAAGCAAAGGAGGGTGGGGGCTTGTCTTTGACACCACTGTTAGTTTAATTGATGATCCCTAACACCTTTCACAAACACATACTTGAATCTTATTCATCCATGGAGTATGAACACAGAGCATAGACCTACTGTACTAACCAATGTAGGGCACATAGAATCATAGAATGGCAGACTTGGAAGCATAGCTGTCAACCTTCCCTTTTTTGTGTGTGGGAAATTCCCTTATTCCAGCGCCGTTTCCCACTGCTTCCCACTGCTATCCTGGATTGTTATATATCCCGTAGACTGTCCCCAGGACAGGTGAGGCTGCTGATCCCTTATTTTCCAATCTGAAAGTTGACAGCTATGGTTGGAAGGTCTGCCAGGGGCAATCTAATCCAAATCACTGCAATGAATTTATGAGTTTGCTCGAATTCTAATGCTTCACTGGATGTAGAGATTATGGGGATCTGCCCCCAAACCATAAATTATAATTAGATTCATGACAGAATTGTAGAGTCCATCCCCCTGCAATGAAGGAATCTCAACTAAAGCATCAATGACAGATGGGCGTCCCAGTTAAGGTTATGTTGAATCCTGATTCTGCCTTCTGTGGCATTCGTTACCCCTCCAACTTTGGTGTCATCTGCAGATTTGAGGGGCAGCCCCTCAAATCCTTCCTCCAAGTTGTTTCTAAAGATGTTGAACAACAACGGGCCCAGGACAGACCCTAACGGCACGCCACTTGTCACTTTTTTCTAGGAGGATAGGGAACCATTATTGAGCTCCAGGGGTACCACCTCCTAGGGGCTAAGCCCTTGTGGTCCTGTGTGAGTGTCTGGAGGTGGTTGGAGGATGGATGGCAGCTGACAGATTGAGGTTGAATCCTGACAAGACAGAAGTACTGTTTTTGGAGGATAGGAGACAGGCAGGTGTGGAGGACTCTCTGATCCTGAATGGGGTAACTGTGCCCCTGAAGGACCAGGAGCACAGCCTGGGAGTCATTCTGGACTCACAGCTGTCCATGGAGGTGCACGTCAATTCTGTGTCCAGGGCAGCTGTCTACCAGCTCCATCTGGTACGCAGGCTAAGACCCTACCTGCCTGCGGACTGTATTGCCAGAGTGGTGCATGGACTAGTTATCTCCCACTTGGACTACTGCAATGTGCTCTATGTGGGGCTACCTTTGAAGGTGACCCAGGAACTACAACTAATCCAGAATGCGGCAGCTAGACTGGTGACTGGAAGTGGCCGCCGAAAGACCTATATTGACCTATATTGGCTCTCAGTATGTTTCCGAGCACAATTCAAAGTGTTGATGCTGACCTTTAAAGCCCTAAATGGCCTCAGTCCTGTTTACCTGAAGGAGCGTCTCCACCCCCATCGTTCAACCTGGACACTGAGTTCCAGCCCCAAGGGCCTTCTGGCAATTCCCTAAATATGAGAAGTGAAATTACAGGGAACCAGGCAGAGGGCCTTTTCGGTAGTGGCGCCCATCCTGTGGAACGCCCCCCCACCAGATGTCAAAGGAAAAAACAGCTACCAGACTTTTAGGAGACATCTGTTTAGGGAAGCTTTTAATATCTGAAGGATTATTGTATTTTAATATTTTGTTGGAAGCCACCCAGAGTGGCTGGGGAAACCCAGCCAGATGGGTGGGGTATATTATTATTATTATTATTATTATTATTATTATTATTATTATTAGGTCCTTGAATATTTTCAGGGAGGGGACTGCCCCCAATGTCCAAAAGTGGTGGAGGAGGCCAAGTGCAGAGCCAAGCACAGGCCCAGGCCAGCTCCGCCTCCTCCTCCTCCTCCTACCGTGGAGGGGAAGGAGTCGGGAGGCCCCAATCCAGTGACAGCAGCAGCAGCAGAGGAACCATGGCCATTGAAGGTGTGCTGCTGCTGCTGCACTGCGGCCATCCTTGGCTCTGCCCCGGCTCCTCTGATGTCCTGAAATAGCACATCCAAAGTCATGTGCAGCACACCTTCAGCCCCCACATTCTTCTTTGGAAGCTGGCGTCTCTGATGAGCACTCTTTGGGTTCGGTTAGTCAACCAGCTAAAGATCCATCCTAACAATTACCTCATCCAGTCCACATTTTACCAGTTTCCATTGCAATAATATAATGGAGGAATATCATGTCAGAAGCCTTGCTAAAATCAAGATACACTATGTCCACAGCATTCCCTTGAACCACCACAGTTGTAACTCAAAAGAAAGAGAAAAAAGGAAGGAAGGAAGGAAGGAAGGAAGGAAGGAAGGAAGGAAGGAAGGAGATTTGTCTGGCATGCCTTGCTTTTGAGGAAAAAACAGACAAGGTCCCAGTTGGTCAACCATCGTGGCACCAACCAGCTCCAGACCTACTTTGCTTTCCCTGAGCTGCCACTTCTGTGTGAGAAGAAGGCCAAAAGGGAAAGGGGGATAAAATCTGCATCTACACTTGCCCTCTTAAACGACTTTCCTTTCAGGATGTTGAATAATGGAAGGAGGATCAGTTCAAGCTCCATTTTCCTGCTCTTATGTCCATTTGTTAAGTCCTGTTCCAACAATCATAATGGTGACTGAACACCCTTGAGTGGCATCTACTGATCACACAAAACAAAGTCCACCAATTGAACATATGTTTGAGCTGATGAATTTGTTTGAGAGCCAAATGTTTACCAAGAGGGCTGCAGAAAATCCTTATTCTCCACCTTTCTTTACAGTCACACGTGGACTTCCCACCAGTTTTCGGAGGGTGGAAAGTAGAGGAACTGTTTTGAAGAAATGATTCTTAAGCACCACAGGGCCAATTAAAACTTCACCAAGATGGCCGCCAACAACAACAACAACTTATTATTTCTATCCCACCCATCTGGCTGGGTTTCCCCAGCCACTCTGGGTGGCTTTCAACAGAACATTAGTAAAGGTAAAGGGACCCCTGACCATTAGGTCCAGTCATGACCGACCCTGGGGTTGTGGCGCTCATCTCGCTTTATTGGCTGAGGGAGCTGGCGTACAGCTTCCGGTCATGTGGCCAGCATGACTAAGCCACTTCTGGCAAACCAGAGCAGCGCACGGAAACGCTGTTTACCTTCCCACCGGAGCGGTACCTATTTATCTACTTGCACTTTGACGTGCTTTTGAGCTGCTAGGTTGGCAGGAGCAGGGACTGAGCAACGGGAGCTCACCCCATCACAGGGATTCGAACCGCCGACCTTCTGATCGGCAAGTCCTAGGCTCTGTGGTTTAACCCACAGCGCCACCCACGTCCCTTAACAGAACATTAAAAACAGAATAAAACTTCAGACATAAAAAACTTCCCTAAACAGAGCTGCCTTCAGATGTCTGTTTGAAGGAGTCCTCTGTTTGAAGGGCCGTCCAGCCAAGTTTGATTTAAAGATTTTAAAACTTTTTTTTAAAAAAACCTCTTAAGAAAGGAGAGTAGCAGCCTATCAAATTAGTACCCGGAGAAAAAGGCCAAGCCCACAGGCCATCTGGTCAAGGTCCACCCCACTGTGGTGAGATGTATTGTATTTAATTTAAATTATAGCATTCACTTCTAAATTTGTATCCATACATCTAAATCAGCATATGCAAATTTATGCAAATGAGTGTCCTTTTTTTTTAAGGCATGCATATATGAGCACCTTAAATTAGGCATGACCCTTGGTAGCTCAGTAAATAGCGCAAATGTTTGTGGTCCACTTCATCAGATGCATGAAGTGTATTCCTCAGATATATACAAATGAAATGAACTTTTTGAATTTCATTTTAAAAAGAGAGAGAGAGAAAAAAAAAAATGAAATGGCCAGTGGGAAAGAACTGCCCCTCTCCTGTCAGTCTTTCATTCTCAGTTGCAGTTTCCAAGGTGGCTTTTCACCTAAAGAACAAACAAAGCAAAACAAAACAAACTATTTGGCAGGGGAGGGGGAGTCAGGGAGAAACCCACACCTGAGTCAGGTTGCTCTACATTATGTACTGACTACAGCAGGAACTTCAGAAGCTTCAGGAAATCCGAACGTAAATCCATACTTTGCTTTGAAACTCAGTTTGCTTCATTTCCTTGGATGGATGGTGACAGCATGCAAATGGAAAAAATAAATGCATTTGGGAGCAGAGCTCACAGTGTACTTGTTTGGATGGAACTTCTTAAAATGTTGTTTTCTGAAGTGTTTGGGTGGGAGAGTTATAGAATTATAGAATTGTATTTGCTTGCAAATACAGTAAAGGACTCGGGTGGCACTGTGGGTTAACCCACAGAGCCTACGACCTGCCAATCAGGTCGGCGGTTTGAATCCCCATGACGGGGTGAGCTCCCGTTGCTCGGTCTCTGCTCTTGCCAACCTAGCAGTTCGAAAGCACGTCAAAGTGCAAGTAGATAAATAGGTACCACTCCAGCGGGAAGGTAAATGGCGTTTCCGTGCGCTGCTCTGGTTCGCCAGAAGCGGCTTAATCATGCTGGCCACATGACCCGGAAGCTGTACACCGGCTCCCTCCGCCAATAAAGCGAGATGAGTGCCGCAACCCCAGAGTTGGTCACGACTGGACCTAACGGTCAGGGGTCCTTTTACCTTTACTTTACAGTAAAGGAATGTTCACCACATAAAGGCTACGGCATCAAGAGATGGATTCCGTGCATGAAATGCTAACGTCAGATCAGCTACTGTGTACAGAGTGCTGCTATCACCTGACATCTTCACTCCAAACCACAAATCATTTAATTGAAGGAAGGTCACATGTTCAGCTGAGCGGTTGGAAAAGGTGTGTGCATTTTTCTTCCCACAAGTGTCATTTTCCTGTTTACAAATTAACATAGGTCCACCGCACAAAGGCTGGCAATTGTTTAGTTTAGTTGCTTGGAGAAAACCAAATCCATAATGGCCAGACGTGTACTAGGGAGAAACATGTTGACAAAATGAATAGACCAATTGGAGGGTTGCTTTGGGCATTCAGCCGTGCTCCGTTCCCACCCCCTCATCCCCACCCGTTGCTAGGATAGTCGTCAACAGAACTTGAAGCTCCCGGGAGATAACGAATCTAATATTAATAATTGTCTCGTGAAGAGAAAGTGCTGCAGCATTCCAAGGGCGATCGATGAATCTGACTTCATATGGAATCTTTTAAATTCCAGCAATCGGGAGGAGGAGGCTACAGATTTGCAAAGCAATACCTGGGTTAGTTGAATGTTTCAGCCTATGTATATTTAAACATGTAAAATTTGAAACAATTTAAATTGGTGGTGGTGGGCATTTAAGTCCTCAGTAAGCAAGATTATTTTTTTTTAAGTGTCATGATGTTTCCAGCATTACTTTGGCCAGAATTAAAAGGGAATCTTGAGCAATCATCTTTGTAGAAAATATAATTATATGATAAGGTTTAGTAACTAGGTGACATTATCATTACTTATTTATTATGCCAAGGGTTCAAGAGTAATCCTATGTTCAAGGGTATTTTATAAGCTCCTCCTTCATTTTATTCTCACAAGTACCCTTTAAAACGAGGGACGTGGGTGGCGCTGTGGGTTAAACCACAGAGCCCAGGACTTGACGATCAGAAGGTCGGCGGTTTGAATCCCCGCAACGGGGTGAGCTCCCGTTGCTCGGTCCCTGCTCCTGTCAACCTAGCAGTTTGAAAGCACGTCAAAGTGCAAGTAGATAAATAGGTACCACTACGGCGGGTAGGTAAACGGCGTTTCCGTGCACTGCTCTGGTTCGCCAGAAGCGGCTTAGTCATGCTGGCCACATGACCCGGAAGCTGTACGCCAGCTCCCTCGGCCAATAAAGCGAGATGAGCGCTGCAACCCCAGAGTCGGCCACGACTGGACCTAATGTTCAGGGGTCCCTTTACCCTTTAACCTTTAAAGCAGATTAAAATGAAGGAGTTGCTGCCCCAGGAGGGCTGATTTATGATTTGAACCCCATTTTCAGCATGGTTCAGGTGTTGATGTTTTTTAGGCTTTTAATTTTGTCACTGTGCATAGATTGAACCTATTTTAAACTGAATAATGTTGTTCATAACCCCTTTTTATGGAATAGCCAATTTGGGCGCAGAGAAGGTTGCAATTCAGTCACTGTACTGTTTAAACCAGAGATACTTATCCACACTTAGCTTTGCTGCACATTTCTAGGCACAGGCCTGGGCTGTTCAGCTCTGCGTCTCAGCGCTCCCCCTCCCCAGTGCTTTTCCCACAGGAAAACCTGCTCTTTACTGCTGAATCGGATCAAACGGCAATCCATAGAAAACCTGCATTGCTGTTTGCTCCGATTCGGCAGTAAAGAGCAGGTTTTCCTGCGGGAAGGCAGCAGAGCAAAATGAAAAATGTTTGGACAAAGATTGAGAAAGCATGGTCCTGTAGCTAGAAAGTAAAGAGCAAAGAGGTCTGGACCAGGAGAAGATTCACAATGTAAGAATATAAATGATCAGACGAAAGGTTCCTCTAGTGCAGCACCTTTCTCCCTGCAGTGGCCAAGTAGAGACCTAGGAGAAGTTTCCATGGGGGCAACAGACCTCCTCATGGTTGCTACCGTTTGACAAGGTGTGTGGGGCCTAGAGTGCTTGACTGGGGAAACAGAACTTCATGCCCTTGCTTGTAAGTGAAACGGAACTCTCAACCCAGCTCAGACATTGAAAAATTGCCTGAAGGATAAAATTGAGAGGAAAGAGGACCACATTCTTGAAGTCATTGGAGAAGTAAGAAGTAACTTTGGGGAAAGTGTCTTAATTGGTACCAAAACAAACGCAGGACCGTTGACACAGATCAACCACTCACCTCTTTTTTAAGGAAAGGGATTTGAGTCTTTCGTAGCATGCACACTTGGCATCGAAGTCCACAGAATGAATGATCAGCTTGTGCAGAAAGGCCCAAGGTTCTACGAAAACACACAGGTCTTCCTGAATAAAATAAGCACATGGGGCCCCGAAATATGGAAGCCCCTTACAACCTTCCTTAATGGAATTTGAGGTGCAAACTATACATAATTGTTCAGTTTCACCTTGGCTACATAGTTCTTTTTAGGAAACAAAGGCATGCCTCTCAGTGAGAAGAAGAAGAGGAGGAGGAGGAGGAGTTTGGATTTGATATCCTGCTTTATCACTACCCGAAAGAGTCTCAAAGCGACTAACATTCTCCTTTCCCTTCCTCCCCCACAACAAACACTCTGTGAAGTGAGTGGGGCTGAGAGACTTCAAAGAAGTGTGACTAGCCCAAGGTCACCCAGCAGCTGCATGTGGAGGAGTGGAGACACGAACCCGGTTCACCAGATTACGTGTCTACTGCTCTTAACCACTACACCACACTGGCTCTCACAGTTGACTCACTTTTCTCTGTCATCACAGGTTGATTTACCTTCTGTTGCATGGAAACAGGATAAAGATGGGAGACAACTGGAAAAGAAAGCCCAGCGTCTGCCATGGTCCTATTCTTCCACGAATACAGATCCCTTCATCTGCTCAGGACACCTCCTTAATGAAGGTATCTGAGGAGGACTGCTGACATTAGAGCTGTGCCGATCTCACGACCTAACCCCTTCTGCGATTTTATTAAATAAATCAGTTCTTTGTGCTTAGAATAGGGTTACCAGACGTCCCCATTTCCTGTCCCCGGGTTTGCGAATAAGTCCCCAGACAAATTCCATCCCCGGAATGTCCCCGGATTTCATCTAATGTCCCCGGGAAATGCAGCGGCGGTAGTCTGAGCAGCCGGCTCTGGCTGGCTTCAGGAGCTGCTCGGAAGTCCCCATATGATGGTGGTGCAGGGGCTTGAAGATGCAGTTTCTAGACTGCCTCCACCTTCCCTAGCAACTAAGCTGTGAAGGGAGCAACTAAGCTGTGAAGGGAGGCTTCATGCTGCCTATCGGAGCAGCCTCCCAACTCCTACTTGCGTGCAAGCAGGAGGGGGCAAGGATCTCTCAGTTAGGCAACAGGAAGCCTCCCTTCCCAGCTGAGGGATCCCCGCCCCCTCCTGCTTGCACACAAGTAGGAATGGGATTGGGGCTGCTCCGATGAGAAGGGAGGCATCGCACTGCCTGAGAGATCCCTGCCCCCTCCTGCTTGCACGCAAATAATAATAATAATAATAATAATAATAATAATAATAATAATAATAATTTATTATTTATACCCCGCCCATCTGGCTGAGTTTCCCCAGCCACTCTGGGCGGCTCCCAATCAGTGTTAAAAACAGTACAGCGTTACATATTAAAAACTTCCCTGAACAGGGCTGCCTTCAGATGTCTTCTGAATGTCAGGTAATTATTTATCTCTTTGACATCTGATGGGAGGGTGTTCCACAGGGAGGGCGCCACTACCGAGAAGGCCCTCTGCCTGGTTCCCTGTAACCTCACTTCTTGCAGTGAGGGAACCGCCAGAAGGCCCTCAGCGCTGGATCTCAGTGTCCGGGCTGAACGATGGGGGTGGAGACGCTCCTTCAGGTATACAGGACCGAGGCCGTTTAGGGCTTTAAAGTAGGAGTTGGGATGGGGCTGCTATGAAAGGCACCGCTTCCCCACCCACCACCACCAAAGAACCAACAACTCAGGGGCTGCCCAGGCTCATGGAGAAAGGAGACAGAAGCTTTGGAGGAAGGGGAAACATGGCGGTTGAGGTCAAGACAGCGGCTGCCCCACTGCCACTGCCATCGCTGCAGCATCAACATCCCGAACATGTAGTATGTATGTATTTATTTATAGTGTCCTCGGATTCATTGAAAAAAAATCTGCTAACCTTAGCTTAGAAGGGTCTCCCGTTCTTAGTGCAGAGTGGGTCTCCTGTCTTGTTTCAGGGTGCCATCCTCAATGTGCTGCACCCTGACACCTCCCTTAGCACCTGCAGGGATCCCTGCCTCCCCCCTTTACTTTATTTTTATTTTTAATATGTGAGAGTGTGTGTACATGCCTGTCACCCCCCCCCCCGAATGCTTCTGGGCCTAAAGAGTTTCATAAGGAAACAGAGCGCTAAAACTGCCCACCATAGAACACCAGGGCTGTGTCCCATTGCCCACTGTCAATCTCCCCCATTTCCCAGGTGAGCCCTGCCATCTGCAAGACTTCCCCAAATTACTGCTTTTTGGAGAAGTAGGGATGGAAGACCGTCATTTCCAGTTTTCTCAGTTTCTCGTTTTTCCAGTCTTGAATTAGGTTCTCACATTTCTGCAGCTATTTGCAAGTCTGTTTTTTAAAAGTCCTGATGAAAACGCATCAGCATTTTTAGTGTGAACAAACACATTTTGTATGCAGTTTTGACTAATGTACAATTTCTTTGCAAGCAGCTATCCCGAATGTTATACATTTTTGCATGTTGCCTTCATTAATATCCACAATTTCCTCGGATATGTGCATTTTGTGAACACTGTTTGGAGAACTGTACCACGTAATAAGATTAAGTGAAAATCCCGAAGGACAGCTATGTTTTAGTTCATGTACTGTTTCAGGGTGTGTGGATTTGATAGACTTGTCTTTAAATGAGAAGTGAAGCTTGCAGGCTGAACGCACAGTCTTTGTGACAAGAAGATTAAAGCCCTCCTTGCAATCTAGGGGAAGGCAGGTGCCAGACCAGGTCCACCCCAAAGGTCTGGCAGCCCTAGTCCTCTCTGGAACTCACCTACAGGTGGTACCCAACACCAAGAACACTAGCGCTAATATGCCCAGGAACCTCACCAAAATACTGGAGAGGGTGCACCTCCACAGGCACATACCTTCCTATGTGGTGGGAGTGTCCCAAAATCCAACTATTCTGGACAACAGCCATACAAGAAATATGTAAAATAACCAAGCAAGTATTAGAAATCACCCCAGAATTGGCCCTACTAAATATATTTCAAGACAATAATGCCCACTTACACCACAAAGAACTCATAACCCACCTCCTTTCAGCAGCCAGAAACATAACCAGACACTGGAGAGACCTGTCAGAAGTAAGCATGGGCCAATGGTACCAAATAGTATGGGAAACAGCCTTACTAGAAAAATTAACCAATAAACCGAAACTGACACAGGGACAAATAGAAGATGCCTTCACCCCGTCATAGGGGAGTCACCCCTATGACTCCCTTTTATCACATACACAGCCCAACAAAACAATGACAAAAATCCACCAACAGCATACAAATCAATATGGCTAACCTGATCCAAATCACCCACCCACCCCACTCACACCTGACAACAAAGACCACCACAGCCGATCACAAACAAACAACCACACCCTAGGCCAACCCCAACCTCTCTCACCACCAAAGAAACACAAGTGAACAGCAGACAATCTGCACAAGCAACACTGACACAAAACCCGACATACATTAAGTAAAATAGAAACATCGCCACCTGACCCCACCCCACCCATCTTCCCCCCCTCCACCTCTTTCCCCCTTTTCTTCCTAATGTCTCCACAAATGAAACTGATCAGTAAAAAATGTTACTGGGGGAAAAAGAGAGAGAGATTGCACATACTTTTGTAAACCAAGAAAATCTTTAATAAAAATACATTTTTTTAAAAAAATGCCTGGGGAATTAGGGTGTCTTTACTTGATGGCAGAAACCCACGCTTGTCTCACCGCTCAGGGTGACAAAGACCCACTCTCACCACCAACTGGAAGACCTGGGATGGATGATATGGGAGAGGAATACAGCCAGGTTCCAGGGCATGAAGGACTTTATAAACCAGTACTAAAACCTTGAATTGGACCCTGTAGCAGTCAGGCAGCCAGCTCAAATCCCGCAATATTGGTGGCTATATGACCACATGCTGAAGCGCCATTCAGTCATCATTCTGCACCAGCTGCAATCTCTGGACTGTTGTCAAAGGCAGCCCAATGTAGAATACATTATAACAATCTAGCTTTGCAGCCCTGGCTATTTTCTACCTCAGCATGTTTCTTTGCTTTTTCATGATAAAAGAGGGAGCGGAAGAAGTCCAGGGTCCTCATACATTCTCATTTTGCATTGTTTGGGTGGTGGTGGGGGGTTTGGGGTGCTGTTTGCCACCTGTAACTAGTCTAGGCCTTGTTCCGACAGGATTTGAAAAGAGGACAGAAGCGCTACTTTTACAGCATTATGAGAATATATGACAGCAAAGCGCCGAGGGAAATGTTGTACCGTCGGTATGTGATCAATCTCCAGCGCCAGAACGTGCAGGGTGAGTGTTCAGCCAAGGCAGCTCCTTGCATCAGCACCTCCGAGAAATTGGAGAGCAGCAGAGAAAATCCGGAGACTTGAGGGGATTATGAGGCAAGGTTTATGGGCCATGAAGGTACATCAGACACACAGCCGGAGCACATGGTGGTTTATAGGCCGAGTTCACACAGTCTTCAGCCAAGAGGCTCTGCCGTTCTCAGCAGGGACGAGGGGAAGAACAGGCAGTGAAATGATGTAGGTCTGCTGTTATTTATGCTACATTCATCCACTGTGCAGTTTGTCTTCGGCTCCTCTCCGCAGAAATGATACAAACACACACAGAGACAGCTGAAAGACAAATGCTTTAGAATAAATGTTTAGCTCTCGTAGCTGCCTTAGAAAAATATCAAACCAACACATTTCTCCCAGACGCACAAAACACCGGGGGCTTTCCTCCACATGTCTCCCAAACGCTTGACGTTAAAACTAGGATTGGAAACCTTCTATAGGAGAGCTACTCAGGAACAAACACTTCAAAATGAAGAGTTAGCATTAAAAGGATTGTGGGATCAGTTCTGTGATTCAGAAAAGACAGCTTCTGTGTTCTCCCAGACTTTTCATGTTCAATTCAAGGTTTTAGCTCAGTGGTGCAAGCCATGTTTTGCATACAAAAGGTCAGTGTTTCCCAAACTTGGGCTTCCAGCTGTTGTTGGATTACAACTCCCAGCATCCCTAGCTAGCGGGACCAGTGGTCAGGGATGATGGGAATTGTAGTCCCTAAACAGCTGGGCAGTCGGCCGGGCGCTCTCGCTCCTGGCTCGATTTGGGTCATGGGGGGGTCAGCGGTCCCCCCCAGTTGACGCGCTGGGTGTCCCTGGTTCCCCCTTGGCAGTGGCAGTGGCAGCAGCAGTCTCAGCAGCCCAGAGCCAGCCTGGTAGCGCAGTTGTCTCTGGCTGGCTTCAGGAGCTGCTTGCTGCCATGGCGCCCGTCATTTTGCCTTGCTGGAAGTCCCCATATGATGTGTCTTGTGCCGTTGAACCAATCACGCAACATTCATTCACTATTAATAAATCTATAACACTTAAAATATAAGTCCGGGGACATTAAATGAAATCCGGGGACATTCTGGGGACGGATTTTGTCCGAGGACAGATTTGTAAATCCGGGGACTGTCCCCGGGAAACGGGGATGTCTGGTAACCATAGTATGTGCTCCCTGTATTGTTTCTGCAGGAGAATGCAGAATTGCCATTTCTAGCATTAACGGTAAGGTAGGAGAACCAGATGCAATCACTTGCTCCTGGAGCCATTTCCTGGAGAAGGCAGATGATTAAACCTGGAGAGTCCAGACCTGTGCACAGAAAGGCAGGCCTGGATTTTCTCTTTCTTTTCTTTTCCGCTGATTCGGATGGCTGGGTTTTAAAATATGATTTATAGAATAGAAATGAGCAAGTCCCAGCCTCAGAACTGCCGGTGTAAAACAAATGAATGATTTAGCCTTGTAGTGCTTCCTATTTTGTCAAAGCTTTTAATGCGAAGGCCCTAGTGACAAACCAAATATGAAGTTCAGAAAATCCTATTGAGGGCCCTGTTTGTCACAGGAATAACAAAAATGCACAGGCAAAACAGAAGCAGTTAACAGGGGAGTAAAATCAGATGTAATTATTCTGTGAAGTATGCATTCTCTATTTTATGTTCTGCTAAACTCTGATTGATTAAATTAGAGGCAGTCTTCCCATTAAACTGGATTTATTACGAGAACAAGGTAACTATCGCTACCTAGTGCTAAGAACCATCTTTCTTAAAGGAAAGGCTTGTCCCTTTCCCCAACGCTTTGGGAAACAGGCTGGTCCCCTTTCAAACTATTTGATTGCACCCGATGTCAGGAGGCTTGCTTGTGTAAATTAGAGACAAAACAGCAGACCTAAAAGGAAAGAGGGAGTCGAAACGTTCATCTCACAATTAAGGCTCCACAAAGTAGGTCTTTCTCATCTTTCACTCCTGCAATCATTGAAAACCATGTCACATCGCCACAGGACGACAGCTGACAGCAGAAGGCTCACCAACTCCTTTTTGCAATTACCGTTGTTATTTTCTGACTCCACGCTCTGTGCATGGCAGGGAGCTCTATTCATTCCATCAACTTTTATGGCCTCTCCTGCTCATGCTGACTAATGTGATGACACTAGACCAGTTGTTCAGCTGTCCTGGACACTTTTGCCAGCCCCAAGGAATAACTGACCATCAGAATAACGCACCGCTTGCCCCCTCGTCCCCATGTATTTATGCACGGGTGCCTTTGACCATTATTGACTCCTTTAAAAATATTTTTAAGGGCTCATCACAAAGCAGCAAGTCAAATATTATGCATCCTACCTGAAAGATTAAAAAACCCCGCAGAGGAATCAAGGCTGGGAACTGCACCTCCCTTGAAGACAGACCTCAGGAAGGCAGAGCTCGGTTTCTGTAATTAAATGTGAATCAAAGAAACCAGGGATGAGTCACAGTCAGTGAAAAAGGATGAATCACTTTTCTTCCATGAGAATTGGACACTTAATGTTACATCCAGAAGTTGCGCTAGGTGCTTACAAAACAAGCTGGTAACTCGTCTTTCTGTTTTTATTTTATTTTTAAATGCACACTCTCTTCTAGGAAAAACTGCTCAAAATTTATATGAAATGCATTATATGAAAATGGATATTTGAAATCTTGCAGAATTTGCCATTTTGTGCCATGGAGGTGGGGGAGGGATGGTAAGGGGAAATGTGAAATAAGGAGACTTGGGATAAATGGGGGGCAGTGGACACTTATTTGAAGGAAGACCTGGAAACCACCAAGAAAGCAGAATGTTCCAGTTCCTAAACTTGCATGTTTTCAAACACGTGCACGCACGCACGCGCACGCGCGCACACACACACACAGACCTCCTCCCTATAGACACATATACACAAGGGCTAGAAACTTGCATAAATAAAGTGAAAGTGGTGATTCAGTGTAATATTTTGCCTGAGGAGGAATTTGTATCCTCTTGTCTTGCCGATCAGAAGGTCGGCAGTTCGAATCCCCGTGACAGGGTGAGCTCCCGTTGTTCGGTCCCTGCTCCTGCCCACCTAGCAGTTCAAAAGCACGTCAAGTGCAAGTAGATAAATAGGTACCACTCCAGCAGGAAGGTAATCGGCGTTTCCATGCACTGCTCTGGTTCGCCAGAAGCGGCTTAGTCATGCTGGCCACATGACCCGGAAACTGTCTGTGGACAAACACTGGCTCCCTTGACCTATAGAGCGAGATGAGCGCGCAACCCCAGAGTCGTCCATGACTGGACCTAATGGTCAGTTGTATCTTTACCTTTACCTTTATCTGTAATCACAGCTCTGAACTACTTGGTAAATATGTGTACAAAATAGATGTCATCTTATAGAGAGGAGCCTGTTCAGAGTGGGGCCCTCTGAGCGATGGTATAGGACAGACTGCTTAGAGCTTCCGACTGCAGAATGAAAATTACAGGTTAACATTGGATGCATTACGATGATGTGTATGGAAACTGACACTCTAAGTTGTCTCTGACACCTTTAAATTAATTTCCAGCTTTAAATAAGAAATGAAATATGTAACAAATGCAAATAAAATTTATATCGATGTGTATGCTGACAGGTCAAAAGCGTCACCAGTTGTTTTCCGGCAGATGGCTTTCTTTCTGAAAAAGCTGCTCCATAAACCTTTATTACGGTCTATTTCTGTGCTTTTCGGAAACTGACACATAATCATGCATTCTGCATCAGCCCAGTGGGTTCCTCTAGATGACCTGTTTACTGACTAGCATTCATCCTGATTTGCTCATACTGTACAAAGCTTACATGAAAGTTAGATTATATACTGTTTTTACGGAGCATTTGTTTTGATGTGGGGAGGCTATATGACGACGAGCATTCGTTTTGCATTCATCCTGATTTGCTTGCAGGGTGTTTACATGTCATTCCATTCACCATTCTTCCACCCCACGCTTTTCAGTGCAGAATGCTTTTAATCCATTTTAATTGGTAGTCATAAAGTCCCCAGTCTGCACTTGAATCCCTCTTACAAAATACTGAACGTGTTAAACATGAGATTAGATCCCCAATGGAAATGCTGTTTGCTAAAGGAATGGTTTAGCTCCCTTCCTTTTCATTCCAGCTGCATCTTCCTGACAGCCAAGTGTGTCTCTACCAGGTTTAGTGCCTCTCTTCTTTGTTACTTTCCAGGGTCCTGCCATAAAACTTTGCAAGAGGTTGGTTGTCAGTGAAATATGGCTGCTCTGATAAAAGCAAGCGGATGTGTCTCATTCCAGAGCTTTCATTTTCACTCTTTGTGCACCCCATATCTTAGCCGCAATTCCTTCCCTCGTTTTCCCCGACTTTCTTCCTACAACTGCTCTTTAAGTCCCAAAAATGTCTAATGTTGATCCAACAAAGTCAGGCTGGCTAGGATGCCATGCAGGGAATTCTATTCCTGCCAGTTGTGTGTGCAATGTGGCCTAGCTTTTTCGGCGCCTACGTTCCCATCCCTGCCTGTTGCTGAAAATTCTCCATCCATTTCTGGAAAAAGGTAGCTGGGTCTAATTCATACGTAACCTGGTTTACAGTGTGGATAAATTTCCTTACATGGATACCGTAATGGTAGCCTCCACAAGTCATATTTGCAATAGATGTTTTCAGCCCTGGCAAATTTTAGGAAACAATCTTAGCTTCCATTTTACTCTCTGTATAAAATGTCAGTGAATTAATCATATATAGAATATATGAATGATTCTGTAGCATATAGCAATTCATGGGGCACAATCCAGGAGGTTATAGTCACACCTTGGATCTCAAAAGCCTTGGCTACCGAAAAAATTGGCTCCCGAACAATCAAAACCCAAAAGTGAGTGTTCCAGTTTTTGAACGATTTTCAGAAGCTGAACGTCCAGCGTGACTTCCGCAGCTTCCAACTGGAAGCTGTACCTTGGTTTTCGAATGGTTCTGGGAGTCAAATGGACTCCCAGAATGCATTCTCTTCAAGAACCAAAGTATGACTGTCGTTATTTCCACTGAAATCAATGTGGCTTAATGTAAGGTTACCAGACGTCCCCGTTTCCCGGGGACAGTCCCCAGATTTACAAATCAGTCCCCTGACAAAATCCATCTATTTAGTAGGAAGTTGAAAAGTGTCCCTGGATTCATTGAAAAAAATCTGGTAACCTTAGCTTAATGCACTTACTGCTACAATGTGTGGACACAGTACCTGTATCCAGATCATACAAGAGCTTTCCAGACTTTTCATGTTGGTGACACACTTTTTAGACATGCGTCATTTCGTGACACGGTAATTCAGTTTTTCATCATTTTGCAACACAGTAATTCAGTTTTACTAGGAAACCGGAGGTTAAACTAACCCCTTTCCAGCCCTGGAAGGAGCATGGGGAGTGTTCGCACGACACAATTAACGTGTCGTGACACACAGTTTGGAAAGCTCCTGATACCCAGAATGCATGGCAGTGATATGGGTTGGACTCACTGGCTCTACCAGTGACACTTGCATGACTGATCTCTACATGTTCAAGGTCCTGTTTGCACCTGAGCCTATGCATATAACATCCTCAGGTGAGTAGGCCCTGAAAACATGATCCGTATCTTCCATTTTTCTAGGGCATGGCGTTTGAATTAGGGAAGCAGAGGCGTAGCAAGGTCGGGTGGTACCCAATGTGGAATTTTTTACTTTTATTTTTTTGCCAATAATTTTTTATTAATTTTCATTAAATATAAATTCATTATACAAATAAATCCCACACATATATTTAGCTCTGCCGAACTTTGGACTTCCCTCCAGCCCGTCGGTAAGTATCATATATTTCCTAACATCACGTATTTTGTTTGTTTAACTGTTTTACCATATGCTGTTAGAGTTATTCCAGCCCTGCCAGTGTCTTTAGGGTTTTACAGTTGTCTCTTATATACACCAAATATTTACTCCAGCTGTCATGAAACTTCTGTTCATCCTGATCTCGTATTTTTCCTGATAATCTGGCCAGTTCTGCATAATTCATCATTTTAACCTGCCATTCCATAATAGTAGGTATCACATCTGTCTTCCAATTCTGGGCCAACATAGTTCTTGCTGCCGTCGTGGCGTACAGAAAAAGATTTTTATCTTTCTATTTAATTTCCTTCCCTGTCAGTCCTGAGACTGGCTTCAGGTTTTTTTAGAAAGGTGTACTTAAAGGTGGATATTTTTTTTGTCAACCCCCCCCCCCATTAATGGCTCCGGGTAGGCTTGGGAGCCATGGGCGGGCAGCACGCTGAATGTCATTCCCTTGGCATGCCACCCGCCTGCAACTCCCAAGCCTCCCTCGAGCTGCCCAAACGAAGGGGTGAAGGCCGCCAGCAGAGCTGCGCCACTTTCTTTGCGGCACCGCTTTGCCGGCAGCCCTCCCCCTTCCTTTTGACAGCTCAGGGGGAGCTTGGGAGTTGCAAACGGGCGGCGCGCCAAGTGTCGCCCCCCCCTCAGCGATGACACCCGGGGCGTTCCGCCCCCCCCTTCCTATGCCTCTGTAGGGAAGGGCTGTTGTTCAGTAGTAGAACATCTGCCTTGCATACAGAAGGTCCGGTTGAATCCCCAATGGCACTTCCAGGAAGGGCTGGGAGAGACTCTGCTGGAAAACCCTGAAGAGCCATTCCCAGTGGGTGCAGGCAGGACTGAACTACAAGGACCGAGGATCTGACAGGTCATTGATACGTCAGCTTCCCATGTTCCTATGAGACTATGCACAGACTCTTGGGCTAAAGATTTTGGATATAATATACAGCTGAGTGACTGGGTGAAATTATGGAATGAAGGTTTAAAGTTTACTGCATGTAATGCATTAAAAGAAAATGTGGTGAAAATGATGTATAGATGGTATATCACCCCTGTTAAGTTAGCGAAAATGTATAAAACTAGCAATAAATGTTGGAAATGTAAAGAAAAAGAGGGAACATTCTATCATATGTGGTGGGAATGTAAAAAGGTGAAATGTTTTTGGGAGATGATATATAACGAGTTGAAAAAAATGTTGAAATATACATTTACAAAGAAACCAGAAGCATTTCTATTGGGAATGGTGGGAAGTGATATAAATAGAAAAGAATGTAAGCTTTTTTTATATGCAGTAACAGCAGCTAGAATACTATTAACCCAGAAATGGAAGCAAGAAGAATTGCCAACGATTGAAGAATGGAGGATGAAGTTGATGGACTATGCAGAATTAGACAAATTAACAGGAAGGATCCGAAACCGGCGGGACCAGAAATTCACCGAAGACTGGAGTAAATTTACAAACTATATGAAAAGTATTTGTGATGATCAGATGATGTTTGTAGGTTTGCAAGAAGTTCTGTGAGGAGTATTGTACGAAATATTGTAAAAATGGAAAAGGGGAGATGAT